TTACATTTTATGTAGTCTGAAGTTGGAATGTGGACTGTCCCTTTTATTTACAGGTTCTACTCAAGCTTTCAGCAGGAAGGAGATATGGCGCAGTAAAAGAGTCCTTTTCCTTACACCGCAGGTTATGATCAATGATCTTACTAGAGGAGCTTGTCCTGCTGCTGATATAAAGTGTTTAGTCGTTGATGAAGCTCATAAGGCTCTTGGAAATTATGCATATTGCCAGGTAATGATTTTGTTAAATGGTATTTTACAGTGTACCCAACTGAATATTTTGGGGGATAGTTATTTAATAATGAAAGTTAATGATGGTTTTATAGAAAGCCTTACATTTATTACCTAAGAGCAGATGGTGTTAGTGAATAATTTTTCTTGTCCATTCAAATCACTGTCTGCCTGTCTTTTATTTAAGTCCTTTATTGTCAGCTGTGGATCTTAGTGATTGTGGCAGTGATTTAAAGTAGGGTAGGGATGGAGTTTGGGAACTAAAATAATCCAGAGATTGGTAGTGTACACACAGTGGCGTTACTTAGCAATTAGATAATACCTAACTATCCGTGATACCAGTATTCAATGATGCAACATACGCACCATATCTAACACTGCTTGCCACTTAGTACTATATAGATGTATAAGGGTTGAAATGGGGAGATGTGGTTGTAGAGTTCGTTCGTCTTAGTGCTAACTGTAATTGACCTTCTCTTTGTCCCTTACATTAAGGGGACTTTGCTTCTTTTATTCTCCTTGAGGACTGGGTTGTGAAGGCATTGGTATTGTATACTTAACGGTTTGCATGCATACTCTTTTTTTTTTTTTTTTTAAATGGTAGTGTTTTCTTTTTATTTAATTTTATTTATGTGTGTGTGTGTGCGCATGTGTGTGGCCAGCTCAGCCCACCAGGGGGCAGGGTGGGCTGGCATGTGGTGCTGGGGATTGAACCATGGTCCCTGTGCTTTGCTAAGCTTGTTCCAAGTAGGTGCTCCAGACCACTGAGCCATCTCACCAGCCCCTGCATGCATACTGTTTTAGGCCATAAAGGATGTAAGTGATGAAGACTTGTTAAACGTGTGTAGGGTGATACTTGAGATTTGAAGAGATGTGAGGAGAAGTGGGCTATCTAATGAGGGGTATTATCCACCATGATTTTTTTTTTTTTTTAAATAAAGAGGTCTCCATTAAGGTTTTAAATTTTTATTTATTTGTGTGTGTGTGTATGTGTGTGGCCAGCTCAGCCCACCAGGGGGCGGGGCTGGCTGGCATGTGGTGCTGGGGGAATTGAACCGGGGTCCCTGTGCTTTGCTAAGCTTGTTTTAAGTAGGTGCTTTAGACCACTGAGCCATCTCACCAGCCCCCACCATGATTTTGACTGATACAGAGGCAGGGCAGATTTGGGGGGGTGTGGAAAACTGCTGAGTTGTGTTTAAGTGTAGATTTTAGGGGTGTCTGAAGAATCCAGCTTTAAATAGCTGTTAGGCAGTACATAATAGAAACGTAGGTCTCAGTGGGTGATTTTCAGCTGGAAGTAGTACAGCTCTGGGAATTACCAGCATACATTAAAGAAGGAAAAATCCGGGCCGGGGAGATGGCTCAGTGGAATAAGTGCTTCCTGGCAAGCGCAAGGGCCTGAGTTCAATCCCCGGTTCCACCAAAAAAAAAAAAAAAAGGAAAAAATCCATTTCATTTAATGTAGACATGAATTTTACTGCCAATTTGTGATTTTGTAGTTCACTTAGAGACTTTAAGTAATAGTGTAATATATCTGTATTGTTCTGGGACGAATTGTTATAGTTGATCTTTCTAACTATCCAGGAAATGGATTTTTTTTCCCATTTAGTCACACTTTTCCAAGTTAAATCAATATGCAACATGTTGAGACTTCCACTTTCAGGTTTTAATTTTTATTAGTACATATTTTCAACATATAATGATTCTGTTTTTTGCGGGGAGCTGGTTTGTCTGTGTAACACATCTTAATTCTTTATTCATCCCTTCTGTCCCTTCCCTCTCTGCATCTCATGGTCTCCTTCCCTTCTGCAAAAGGTTCCCGGAGAGATATTTTTTAAAAAAAATTCTTACAACTTTGTGGAATTCATTTTGTAGGTTTAGTTTATATTTAAAAAGTCATTTATTGTCTTGGGGCTGGGGAGATGGCTCAGTAGAATAAGCACTTGCCTGGCAAGCAAGGCCTGAGTTCAATCCCCAGTTCCACCAAAAAAAAAAAAAAAAAAAAAAAAAAAAATCACTTATTTGCAAAAAAGATTCTGGGCATCAGATGATTTCTCCCCCATTGAAAGTTTTATACTTCTATTGAGTACAATTAAACTTGCATTGCCAAACCAGGGAGTTTATATCACTTCAGCATTTCAGGTATAAATTCCAGTGGGCACATCAGCCCCTGAAATGTAGCTTCCTGATTGCAAAAACATGTCATTTCGTCTTCTATGAGATGTTTAAAAATCACTCTTAAGGGGCGGGGGAGATAGCTCATTGGAGTAAGCGCTGCCCTGGCAAGCGCAAGGGCCTGAGTTCAATACCCGGTTGGGGGGGGGGGATCCCTCTTAAAAGGAGTAATGTATTTGGTTCAGTTTTTAAAAAAATTTATTTATTTTATTTATTTATTTTTTTTGTGTGTGTGGCCAGCTCAGCCCTCCAGGGGGCCAGGCTGGCTGGCATGTGGTGCTGGGGGATTGAACCACGGTCCCTGTGCTTTGCTAAGCTTGTTCTAAGTAGGTGCTTTAGACCACTGTGGTTCAGTTTTCATGTGTAACAGTTTTGATAGGTGTATTGGGATCTGTGGCAAAGGCAATAAAAATTATTCAACTTAGAACTGCTAGAACTGCTTCATAATCTGAAAGAACACTTGGAATTCTGGCTTCCATACAAAATAAGAATTTTGAAATAAACCCTCCGATAAGCAGTGTGTTTATGTCTTCCTTGCTGCATCCATGACTATAAAATGTCCCATGATACCTAAAGATCACCGTTGCTTGTCTTGAATCAAACGGCAGTGACTGCTGAGCTATTGTGTCTCGCCTGACTTCTGTTTTGTGTTTGTGTTTGTGTTTGTCACTGTGGGGTTGCACTCAGGGCCTTGCTCATGCCAGGCACGCTCTCCACTTCTGAGTGACCTCCCAGCCCCTGCGTCGTGTTTTGTTGTTGTTTTTCTGTGGTGCTGTATGTTGGTCCCAGGGCTGGGGAAGTGCTGTGCCACTGAAATAACGTATGCCTGGCACCCGCTACCCCTTACAAAAGTGGGGTTTTTTTTTTACCCTTTTAAAATTTTGAATCAGAGTCTGCCAAGATTGTCCAGGCTGCCCTAGAGTCTACTTAAATTTCTCTGAAGTATACTATTATTATTTATTTATTTTTAAAATTTGTTACAGGGTCTTGCTTTGCAGCTCAGACTTGGACTTGTAGTGATCCTCCTGTCTCAGTCTGTCCAGCACTGGGATTATAGGCGTGTGCTACCATGCCCAATTTTGGTGGCCTGCCCAGGGTGCCCAGGGCTCCAGGACCAGCATGGCATCTTCTTACTGGGGATCAAACCTAGGTCTTTGTGCTCGCTAGGCAGGCACTCAGACCACTGAGCTATCTCCCTGGCCCTTAATGTTATTTCTTTACATGCAATTCATACTCCAGAAATGATATTTTTGAGTAGTAATCAAGATTCAGGCCAGGTGCTGTGGTATATGCCTGTAATCTTAGCTACTTGGCATGGTTTTGGGTTTTTTTTTTGGTAGGACTGGGGATTGAACTCAGGCTCTTGTGCTTGCCAGGCAAGCGCTTATTCCACTGAGCCATCTCCCTGGCCCTAATCTTAGCTACTTGGAAGGCTGAGACAAAAGGATTGCAAGTTTGAGGCTGGACTGGGCAACTCTGCAAGACCCTATCTCAACATATAAAAAGGACTGGGGATCTAACTCAGCAATAGAGAGCCCTGGGATTGATCCTTACTACTGAGGGTGGAAGGGTTTCATTGTAAGTTTAATTGACCTAAAGACTCATTCAATATGAGTCTCATTAAACCTTAATAGTTTGCTTTTCAGGTAATACGTTAATGATAGTTTTCCCTAGACCATTAATTGAAGTTTTCTTTCTTTTTTTTAGGTTGTAAGGGAACTGGTCAAATACACAAATCACTTTAGAATCTTGGCTCTTAGTGCCACACCAGGTAGTGATATAAAGGTAAGTAAAATGTCTATTTATTGGCCTTTTTTTTTTTTTTTTTTTTTTTTTTTAATGTATTTAGTACAGGGTCTATAGGGTCTCACTACACAGATTGGACTCCCAGTGCTGGGATTGCAGGTGTACGCTACCATGCCCAGTCTCAGTCTCTGTCTCAGCACATCCTGGGGGTGGGGCCAGCACGGCCTGCTAGGGATCAAACCCTGTTCTCCCTGTCACTGTGCTTTGCCTACACAAGCGCTTTAGTCCTCTGAGCTGTCTGGCTGGCCATGAGTGCTCATTGCTCTGTCGATAACTTGATTCTTCCCTGTGGGGTTTACTCAAATATAGGTTGAGTAAGTGAACTGTTAAACAGTAAAGTCCTAATTATAAGAATTAGTCATAAATGGACTCTAGATTTTGAACGTATGTAGACTGTTAGTAACTAAAATGTACTGTATTATGCCCTGTGGCAGGTATGGTAACACAAGGGTGATTAATTTGTAATTCTTGGGGCTGGGTAGATAGCTCAGTGGAATAAGTGCTTGCCTGTCTAGCGCAAGGGCCCGAGTTCAATCCCTGGTTCTGCCAAAAAAAACCCAAAGTGTAATTCTTGCCTGGGAGTATTTCATGATTTAAACCAAACCCATAAGGCTTTCTAGTTTGTTTGTTTATTTTATGTACTTGGTATAGGGTCTCACTATGCAGCTCAGCCCAGACTCTTCAGCCTCCCGAGTGCTGGGATTACGGGTGTGTGCCGCCATGCCCATTCTCAGTGTCTGGCTCAGCGCTCCCGGGGGTGTGGTTGGCACAGTTGGCATGGCATGTGGTGCCAGGGATCGAATCCTGGACCCTACTCTTGCGTAGGCAGGCACTTAGTCTGCTGAGCTTTCTTGCCAGCCTCTAGTTTTATTTTATTTTATTTTATTTTTTTGTGGAACCAGGGATTGAACTCAGGCCCTTGTACTTGCCAGGCAAGCGCTTATTCTACTGAGCCATCTCCCCGGCCCTTCTAGTTTTTTTTTAAACTCTTTAATTTCTAGATACTTTCAGGATCCCCTTTTTTTTGTTTGTTTGTTTCTTTGTTTTTGTTTAACGTCCCAGCCCTGCTTCCTTCTTAACTGCTAATCATCCTATCAGAGCTGTATCTTCTGATACTATTGTATCTCATAGAGACAGGTTATATGGTTTTTGCTGCAATTCTATAATTTTCCTTCCAGTTTTTTTTTGTGATGTGGTTCTGAGGATTGAACCCAGGGCCTTTGCACAGAGCTATCTCTTCAGCTCTTTCTTATTTTTTTATTTTGACACAGGGTCTTGCTAAGTCCTAAGCTGACCAGGCTGGACTCCACCTTGGTGATCCTCCTGCTTTAGCTTCCCAGAGTGCTGACTTTTCAGGTGTGTGTCGCCATGACCAGACTGTGCCCTAATTTTTAACAATTTACTTATTTAGTACTGGAAATTAAACTTGGTTAGTTCCGATTCTTGGAGACTGAACTTCAGTAACTTGTCTGGCTGGGACTTCAACTTGTGACTCTCTTGCCTCAGTCTGCCAAGTGCAGGATTATTAGGTTTGGGCCACCACATCTCGGTCTCTACTTTCATAACAAAATCCTGTTAAAAGTGTTTTATGAATGGAAATAGCTCCAGAAACATTCATATCACATGTATTGATATAAATGAAAAGTATTCTTATTTATATAGTCCTATAAGTCCACAATCTAACGAGCCATTTTATAAAGTATTCCTAAGATACCCCAACTTAGTTATAATCAATTTCATTTCAGGTAAGCCATGTTGGGGAGAAAGGAACTTCTTGAGTTTAATTCCCAGTACTAAATAAGTGTCCTTCAGTAGTTTCTGTTTTTCCCAAAAAAAATCAATAGAAAAAATTTTCCAGGGAATCACAAAACCAGGTACAGTACTCCCTCGCTGTTTTGCGGTTCAGCCTTTGCATAGTCAGTGTTTTATGGATTTTCAAAAAATATTAATCTAAATTATTTACTGTGGATTTTTCTCTATAATGTGGGATTTTGCAGTATTGTACAGTAGAGGTTTGTTATAATTATGTAGTTTTATGAATTTAGAAAATGGTTAAGAGCATTAGAAGTGTTCTTAAAAGTGTAGGAAAGGATTATAAGAGTGTGAGAAGGGTTTATTTTAATTTTTTTTGATAGTCTCATATACATTGTAATTATACCTTGAGCATCAGTACAAATTATTTCCTAATGTAAAGAAGATTTGAACATAACACAATTCTGACCATTTTTTCTCCTTTTTATGATGTTAGTTGTAAAAGAATATCAAAATTAATATTTCTCTTTGCATTCCATTTTGGTTCTAGGGGGTAGGGAGGACCTATACACATGCAGGAAAATATTAAATGGCTCTTTTTCAACATGTAAGGGTCAGATATCTTCCAATAATGCATTCTAAAGGGGTAAGAGACTTTGACTGTAAAACTCTGTGTCTCTGTCCAGTGATCTCAGTGCAAGACACCCAAATGATATAGAGGAATGAAACTCCCAACCTGAAAGATACCTGGGATGAGTTCATGTTCTCTAAAACTAAAGAATGAGTGCTCACTTCGGCAGCACATATACTAAAATTGGAACGATACAGAGAAGATTAGCACGGCCCCTGCGCAAGGATGACACACAAATTCGTGAAATGTTCCATATTTATTTTCCTACTCCTACGCTGGTTCTCAATGAAAAAGTATTGTCTTTGCAACCTTAAAAACAAACAAACAAACAAAGAATGAATTTTAGGAACAATGGAGGTTAAGAGCAGAGTACATTTATTGAGGTAAAGAAAACTTCTGTCCAAGAAACAGTTAGAAGAGGACCTGAGTGGGTTTCTGATACCCTTTAATCTCCTTTTTCAGAGGACTGTAATTTTCAGCACATAGATCTTTTACTTCCTTGGTTAGATTGAATCCTATTTTTTTTTTTTTTTCTTTTTTTGGATGCTATTGTAAAGAGTGTTGTTTCTCTAATTTCTCTCTCAGAAAGTTTATTATTTGTGTACTGGAAGGCTATTGAGTTTTGAGTGTTGATTTTTTTTATCAAGGTATGCTACTGAATTTGCTTATTAAATCTCCAAGATAATTGGTGGAGTTTTGGGGGTTTGTGTAGAGTATCATGTCATCTGTGAATAATGACAATTCAACTTCTTCCTTTCCTATCCTTGTTTCTTTTACTTTTCTCTCTTACCTAATTGCTCGAGAAGGGTTTATAAAGCCTTAAATTGCTGGGCAGGGGGAGGAGCTAGCTCAGTAGAATAAGCACTTGCCTGGCAAGTGCAAGGGCCTGAGTTCAATCCCCGGTTCTGCCAAAAAAA